CATACATTCATAGCTGTTTTATCAGCTTCTTTCAGTGACACAGGTTGACTAGACAAATCGGCGACAAAAAAAGAATAATTACCAAATAGGGGATATGTGCATCCATGTTGACAGGTGTAATTGGTTAAAAAACTTGAGAATATATGTTTATTTATGTTTAATAATGCGGTTGGGAAAATGCTTATTTACTCACATTTCACGGCTCTGCGATCTGCTCCTTAAGGACAAAGAAGGTCACCGATCTCTCCCCACTCCTAGTTCTTTGTCAAAAGTGGACACAGTTAATGAGGTTGGTTTGGTTCAGCACAAATTCTCAGACACAGATAGAGATCCTTTCAATGGAAACAAATTTGTTTGGCTTTACCAGGTTACTTAGCGATTAATAATAGCCTTCTGATGCAGGTCAGCAAGGTCAGTGTGCCCCTTTGCCAACACAATCTAAAATGCACAGCGAGTCCAGGTTTGCAGGCTCAGAGGCCTCCAAACACTATGCATAAAGTAAAAGAGGCTATTTTCCAAGTTCTTTTTCATATTAATAAGCAATTTTCTAGAGAAGTGTGGCAAAATGGGGGCCATGCCACTCTAAGTAATTCATTTATTTTGCAATTTAATCTTATGTTGGGAAAAAAATTACACTGCTGCAAAAGCATAGCATGGTGATTTTTAAACGTCAGTATGTTTCATAAGTAACCTTGTATGAAATATTGTATTAGAAACCTTTAACTGTAAATGGCAACAAAAAAGAATATATCCAGGAACTGAAACAGAACAATACATCTTCTACTATCTTTAATTTATTTCAGCTATGTTCTACTTTTGCCTTGTACATTTGAAAGGAAAACGTGTGTGATTTACTGAAGCCACTTTATTTTGTGGTATGAATTAATATTTAGTAAGAAAAGAAAAGGCAGCATCCAGATTTTTGGCAGAAAATGTTATATATCTAAAATACATTTATGACCACATTACCTTTTGGGAACACTTTATATTCCACTACAATATTAGAAGTAGCTAAGACTACAATAGACTAGAAATGTCCCATTTTTGGACAGCAAACTGACAAATTGTCATATGGTCCTAATGATCGTCTGGATAGCTCCATCATGGAATAGAACGCACAGTTCCTGTACTTCTCAGAAATCTGGTGCCTTTTTAAGGCAAGGTGACTTCAGAGTTTCCCTTGTGTTCAGCCTTTTCACCTTGCTGGACCTTTCCATCTTCTTGCACAAATCTTCCACCACTGTTGCTCTCTTGGTAACTATGTATATGGAGATACATAAAACACTAGTGTTTTTAATTCGCAATCATAACCTCAGCTCTCTTGAACGGATTGACTGAGATCTAAAGGGCTATATATGGTGTTTCAAGTGAATAGATTTTCTCAGATGTTTAATAATGTTGCAATTCTTTGTCCTATCTGTTGCAATTCTTTGTCCTTCAGGAAGGTTGATCATGCAACTTTTGGGGTTGTATGCAATCTGGCATAGCAGAATGTAGACAAGGGGAAATGGTAATCAGCAGAAGTGTATTCTCTTTTTGAATGGATCTCATAGCTCCTTACTAGGGAATATCATACTATACTAGAAACAAAAAAGGAGCATTAAAACGTTTGTGTGGTTTTATATTTACAGCGAGTCCTTGGTTTGATTGGGGTTTGAGGGATCATGGTGGATACCAGAACCCATGCATGTTCAAGTCCCATTTTATACCATAGTGGAGTGTGTCCTTTATATAAAATGGCATAACCACACCTTGCTTTTTGGCTTTTAAAAATATATTTTCAAGTAATTGATGGTTGAATCTGTAGGTACAGAATCTGTGGATACAGAAGGCTGACTGTACTTGATTGACTTGTGACTTATACCTGCTCATATTTAATTCATTTGGAATTTATAGAGGTATTATAAATATTTACCCTACAGGAACTGATTTTTTTTCAATGCTGTATTTTATGTAAGGTATGCAGAAAAAGGTCAGAACTTTCCTAATTAGCATTTATTAAATCTCCATACATCACTGAGCAAAATTTATGTCTTTCACATACAAGGTTAATTTGAATTAGCTGTTTCTTAATACCAATAACAACAAATGTTAATCAAGCCTACGTCTATGTGTGTTTGCATGTGGGGGAAGGGGATTACCCTAATTCATTGTTGTCATTAATACTGCTGAATATCTAATCTCTGAAATAATTTTAATTACGCTTCAGTCATATTTCAGTAAAATTTAATATAACTTAATAAAATAAAAGCAGTCACAGGATAGAAAACTTCAGCAGTGTTCCTCTTGATTATTTTTTTTTTAAAAAAAACCTATTGTGAAAAATATAGGCTTGGACTTCGTTTTACACAGATTATTTTTTCTTGCTTGTTGTTGTGTTCTCCAAATGATTTCCAGTTTATGGTGACCCTAAGGCAATTCCATCACAGGGCTTTCTTGTCAAGCTTTGTTTAAAGGGGTTGGCAGTTGCTTTCCTCTGAATCTTAGTGAGTGTGACTTTTATAAGTTTACTCAGCAGGTTTCTGTGTGTTAGCAGGGATTTGATCCCTCGTCTGTCACAGTTGTAGTACAACTCTCAAACCATGATACCACAGTGGCCCTTTATTTCTGCTTGTCTAGTAATACCTACTTTGCTAGTAGCTTCTGACCAAGGTTTCTTGGGATATAGAATCATAGAATCAAAGAGTTGGAAGAGACCTCATGGGCCATCCAGTCCAACCCCCTGCTAAGAAGCAGGAATATTGCATTCAAATCACCCCTGACAGATGACCATCCAGCCTCTGTTTAAAAGCTTCCAAAGAAGGAGCCTCCACCATACTCCAGGGCAGACAGTTCCACTGCTGAACGTCTCTCACAGTCAGGAAGTTCTTCCTCATGTTCAGATGGAATTTCCTTTCTTGTAGTTTGAAGCCATTGTTCCTTGTCCTAATCTCCATGGAAGCAGTAAAAAAGCTTGCTCCCTCCTCCCTGTGGCTTCCTCTCACATATTTATACATGGCTATCATATCTCCTCTCAGCCTTCTCTTCTTCAGGCTAAACATGCCCAGCTCCTTAAGCTGCTCCTCATAGGGCTTGTTCTCCAGACCTTGATCATTTTAGTCGCCCTCCTTAAGCTACTCCTCATAGGGCTTGTTCTCCAGACCCTTGATCATTTGAGTCGCCCTCCTCTGGACACATTCCAGCTTGTCAATATCTCTCTTGAATTGTGGTGCCCAGAATTGGACACAATATTCCAGGTGTGGTCTAACCAAAGCAGAATAGAGGGGTAGCATTACTTCCCTAGATCTAGACACTATGCTCCTATTGATGCAGGCCAAAATCCCATTGGCTTTTTTTGCCGCCACATCACATTGTTGGCTCATGTTTAACTTGTTGTCCACGAGGACTCCAAGATCTTTTTCACACGTACTGCTCTCGAGCCAGGCATTGTCCCCCATTCTGTATCTTTGCATTTTGTTTTTTCTGCCTAAGTGGAGTATCTTGCATTTGTCACTGTTGAACTTCATTTTGTTTATTTATTTACTTTATTTGTATACCGCTCTTCTCAGCCCTTAGGCGACTTTGTTAGTTTTGGCCCATCTCTCTAATCTGTCAAGATAGTTTTGAATCCTGCTTCTGTCCTTTGGAGTATTGGCTATCCTTCCCAATTTGGTGTCGTCTGCAAACTTGATGATCATGCCTTCTAGCCCTTCATCTAAGTCATTAATAAAGATGTTGAACAGGACGGGGCCCAGGACGGAACCCTGCGGCACTCCACTTGTCACTTCTTTCCAAGATGAAGAGGAAGCATTGGTGAGCACCCTCTGGGTTCGTCCATTTAACCACTTACTGATCCACCTCACCATAGTTTTGCCTAGTCCACATTGGACTAGTTTCCTTGCCAGAAGGTCATGGGGGACCTTGTCGAAGACCTTACTGAAATCCAGGTATGCTACATCTATGGCATTCCCCGCATCTATCCAGCTTGTAACTTTATTGAAAAAAGAGATCAGATTAGTGTGGCATGACTTGTTTTTGATAAATCCATGTTGACTATTAGCGATGACCGCATTTGTTTCTAACTGTTTGCAGACCACTTCCTTAAGAATCTTTTCCAGGAGCTTGCCTGGTATCGACGTGAGGCTGACCGGATGGTAATTGTTTGGGTCATCCTTTTTCCCCTTCTTTAAGATTGGGACCACATTAGCCCTCCTCCAATCTGCTGGAACTTCTCCCGTTCTCCAAGAACTCTCAAAGATGATTGCCAATGGTTCGGAAATGACTTCTGCTAGTTCCTTCAATACTCTTGGGTGTAGTTGATCTGGCCCTGGGGACTTGAACTCATTTAGAGCGGCCAGGTATTCCCTGGATGACTTGTTTCCCAATTTGGGGTTGGATGTCCTCTAATCCCTTATCTACTCCATCTTGCTGAGGTTGAAGATGACTTTCTTTTTGTGAGAAGACCGAGGCCAAATAATGTTGAAATGGTAAATATTGTCAATGGGTAAGTGATAAACTACCCATTTATTTTAGTGGGTGCAAATCTTTACCATGTTGTGTTGATATTTGCTCATCACCGCTGCATATATTTTTCATAAATAAATCTCTGTCTTTATGCTCAAGGATTAAAACATCACTTCCCTATTCTGAGTTGGTGAAACTTAAACGAATCTTATATAGTCTGTCTGAGAACTAAACATTTGGTTAAATCAGAAAAAAAGAATATCAATTAATGTTTCCTTGCTCACTTATCAAATTCCCAAGTCTCACTTGCTGGCTGAATAATTTTAAAAGATCAGTTATAATGCTTTGATAAAAAGTAGCTTTATTGCTTTTGTTTTAGCAGTACAAGTCCTGCATTGCTCACTATGCGAAGCAGACCCTGATATTGTTGAGTTCAGTAAACAGTGGACAATGCCATTGTATCATCTGTAGGGAAGCTGGGCTGTGAAAGAATTTAGAAAGCATTTGCATATTTTTCAAGCTGTCCCTCTCTAATCACTTAAATTATTTCAATACAGGAAAGAACTGGAGGAGTTTGCTGAGATGAAGGAGAAAGAGGAGGCAAAAAAAGCTCTCGAAAGAGAAGAAAGGAAAAAGGATTACCTAGCCCGAAAGATGCATTACCTCCTTAGCACTGAGCAGGTTGGTGTACCTGTCCCTGACAGCTCATGCAAACCACTGGGGCCCCTAGCTTGACAGAGATAAACTAGCAGGCTGAATGGGACATGACTTGTTGAAAAGATATCACAAAGACACTACTTCGAGTTCAATTTAGTGCATTTCTATAGGCGAGAGCAGGTACCATGACTGCTGCATGACAGCGGTTTCATAGAGGCAGCATCAGCATGGCTGGCAGAAAGAGTCCAAGTCAGCAATTTGATCTGCCACTGTGATAACACAACACGAAGGGCATAACCTCACTTTAAAAACTCATTTTGACTGGCTTATTGTTGTGTTGTCTCACTTGTCAAGAACTAACAAGTTATTAAGCCAAGGAAGGTTTTCATTTTTTCTATTTTAATTGAGCTAATGTTTGGATCAGAATTACGTTCCTGTCCTGTACTGTGAAACAGACTGCAAGGTATCCGTTGGAAACTTTCTAAGAAAGTCTTTCTTTCTGGATCAGCAAATTTACCTGGATTGCATTCTGATGTCCATTGCTCTCAAATCCAAGTGATCTATTTATTCTTCTCAGAATATTTGTTTGAATTCCGAAGAGCTCTCTGGTAAGACAGGTGTTCCCCCTTTTAATCCCTACTTATGAACATCCATGCAAATAAGTCTTTGTTTGCCTCTAGTAAATGTCTATTTATATGAACATCCATAAAGGAAATGTAAGCAGAATTATTTCATTGTTGTAGGTATATTTTGATTTATGCTTAGACTTTTTAGAATTGGTCACATCTTCACAAGTGTCAATATTTCAGTCAGAGATCAAGGACAATGCCACATAAAATTTGGTCCTTTCTTTTTTCTGTCACATCAATCATGAATAAGCAATGCTGGAATTTGTTTACCTAAGCTGCATGACAATTAATTATGAAAAAGTGAACTGATTAGTGGAAATTAGTTATTTTAATTGTAAATTTAGTGAAATCAAGGTTTGTTTGTGAAGACACAGACGAAAAGACTAATTAGTACATGGATATTATTACAAATGAATTATTCATCGAATTCCAGAAAGAGTACATTGAGAAAAATCTCTCAGGGGGAAGTCCTCACATTGTTTTATAACTTTGGTTAAAATATGTAATAAAGAGGTTGCAAAGAGGTTTTAAAATTGGTTTTACTCAGGACAGCACAGAGAAATATTTAAGATTAAATTGGAAACTAAACATGTTTTGTCCTCATGATTGCAAAGAAAGTTTTCAAATATCAAACTATTTGCAACCTTTTTTTGGCATTACATGTATAAACATCATACTTATTTTAATATACAAAGCAGTCATTGAAATATTATTGAGACCTAGTGTTTTAAGCTTCAAAACTTCACAGTGCACAAATGTCATTGCCGAACTGCCTTGATTTTACATGCACTCTCAGGGTAATGCAAATAGTATGCAAATAATTCTTTTTTAAAAAAGGCATATATTCAAATGCACAGATTTCCTGCATCCCTGATACGTTACTTTTTCAAGGAGTCTAATACTGGTATAAAACTTAACATAGAAAGAAGTTATAAATAGAATTGGGATGGTATTTTGATTAAAACTCAGGTTGCTAGTGGATGATGCCTGGAGAAATAAATGACAAGCTCTAAAACTTTATCCTTATGAAATATTGAGCTTTTAATCAATGTTCTTCGTTTATCGGTGGTTTCAATAACTAGACAAGTAACACCTAACACATCTAAAGCCTTCCTTTGTTTGAAGAAAATTCTTTCTTCATGATCCCTATAATTATGAAGAAACCTGCTGTAGAATCTGTGCCAATGTTTCCCAGTCATAAATTATGTTATCTGCTCCACCTACTGGTTGCCTTGAGCAAAAGAGCTGACTGTGAATTGTAAAGTTTCATCTTTCTCACATCGTTTCTGTTGTGACTAAAATTTGAAAGAGGGCATTTTCTCCCTGTTTAATTATTTTTATTTGCTTTTCAGAAAAAAGTAAGAAATCCTTTTATTAACAAAGTTATCTCCTTTTTTCGAACACAAAGGTATTTTGCAAGACCAAATGCATTATTATTTTTCTTTCAAAAAATATGGTCTTTATATCGTAAAACAAATCCAAAACATAGAAAGGTTTTTTTTTAAAAAAACAACAACAACACAATAGTCTGTCATAGGACATCTCTTTAGTCTGAGGAATTTTGAAAAACATGACTATATCCTTGTCATTTAGTATCAGATTTACCATACCTTTTTGTTTGCCAAATCTTAGCAAGAAAAGGTAGAATAAACTGGAAATGATAAGTTCACACATCAACTTGTAATACATGCTGTTTAGAGAGCTTGCAAAATTTTAGCCTTTGAGCAGCAGATAATATAACTTTATTTACACCTTGTTGCTTCTAATATTGCATCACAATCACTATTTATGTCCTTATAAATAATTTGCTTTAATTTTGCTTTAAAATTGTTTCATAATCTTGAAGTTACTTCTCTATTCTGAGTTGTGTGTGTGGGGGGGGGGGGGGGGGGAGATCGGATCCTTTTACCCACCTGCAGTTCATCACTGATCTGGTTAAAATAATAAATGTTAGTATTGCAATCAGAACATGGAACAAAATGTTAAAATGTCAACTAGGACAACATGTTCCATGGTTACTTTCTCCAGAGTTTTTAATTTGCTATCAATTTGTATTTATTAATTTTGTTTTGCCTTAAGCACATGTTTAATATTAGATTCAGACAGAGCTAAGTATTCCATTGCAACGGTGTTGGCTGCTGCTTGTCAAAAACTGTAGACAAAGATGATGTGTCCGCACCATTTTCCGCTTTTTACACAACTCAATAAAAATAATAATGACTTTGTCCTTGAAATGCAATTTGGTGATACAGTTTTATGGTATGAAGCAGAAGCAAATATAGCTATAATCCATAAGATATAATAGATTTCCTCAGAATTTTTTTTAAAAGTCTGGAGGATTTGAGGAGAAAAATAGCTACTACTGAACCCTGATACAGCTTTAGTTGCATGGCTTATACTCTCATAGCTAATATTAAACAAATGCCAAATAAAATAAAGTTATCCAGTTTGGCTGTCTGTGGTAGAAATAAAGCTTTGTCTTATCTTATGTAGAAATAAAACTTCAATATTGCATGACAGAAATATAGGGTGAATGACACACATCCCACATTGTGGGGAGTGATCCCATGAAAACAAAATACATTATAGCAAATGTAACCCAGATTCTGAAATTTATATTGAAGGTATTGAGGTTATCCTGCCCCAAAAAGAACATTCAATAAGTAACAGGGTGGTTTGGACAGGGGAAAGTAAATCTATATATAAGAAAAAGGTATCACATGAAATAAAGGACAGACAGTTGCCCTATGGGCATGATCAAGTATAGAACAATATTGTATTGTTGTAGCCAGCCATTAATTCCAGCCACGAATGCCTTCAACAAAAATATTGTATTTTACAATATTTTATAATATATTTATAATTTTAAAAGGTTTTATCTGGTATATGCTTCTCATAGCTTTGAATATCTGCAGGGCTGAGAACTATGGTACCTTTTATATTTTAGAATGAGACCACAGGTGATGCTTTCTGTGGATCCCATCCATGGAGTAGTTTAAAGTAATTTGAAAACTCCCAGCCACATAGGCAGTGCCAGTTGGAAACAGAAGATAATCTTGTGATGGGAATTCATGTGATTGGCCCCATCTGCATGCTTATGTGTTTTTAAACATTACAGCTCTGTTTTGACTGGATTTGTGGAGAAATGGCTCCTACAGCAGACAAGATAAAAAAAATAGAATTTGAACCCTCACTGACACTGAGCAAGCTAGAACCAACCAATTAATAGAGGGGAGGGGCATACAACATAGTAGTACCAGACTAATATATGAAAGATGAAGTTCAAGGAAACTAAGGGTATATCTCCACTGTAGAACTAATGTAGTTTGGGAGATGTAGTTTTGTACAATATTTAGCCTTCTCTGCTGAATAGTGCTGGTGCCTCACCAAATTACAGTTGTCAGTATTCAACAGCATTGAGTATGGGCAGTTAAAGCTTCTTCAACCTGCATTAATTCTACAGTATCATGTATGGGATTCACTGGAAATGGCTTAACCATGTGAAAACTTTTGAATCATAATGTGGGGTCTTGGTTACAGTATTTCATCATTTACATTATTTATACACAATAGGTTAGAGCTGGCTGCCTCTTGGGGCCCTTCCACACACTATATAATCCAGAATATCAAGGCGGATAATCCACAATATCTGCTTTGAACTGGGTTATCTGAGTCCACACTGCTATATAATCCAGTGGATTTTATACACCTATGTGGAAGGGGCCTTGGAACAAACAAAACAGACACTAAATTTAAGATTTCCCCCCATAAAAATTACACAATGGTCGGATTTGAAATATCAAACATCTTACCTATGTGCCTCTCAATCCATTAGAAACAATCAACCTGTATGTTCCAGTGTTGGCACACCACAGTTCCCAACACAATAATCCAGTATATTGCTTTAGACATCTTACACTGTTATGAACTGCTTTTACAATGTATATCTACAACCTAGGACTTCAATGCTTGAAGCTACAACATTTAAAGTCATCCAAACTCCTGCATTGTTTTTAAAAAGATCCAGAGGTGGGTGAGGCTTTTATCACCACCTGATTGATTTTTAGAAGTTTTGTCATAGAAATGAATCCAATCAATTACATAAAGATTCTTCATTATCCTATAATGAATTGCATATATGCAATAAATGTAATTAAAAGAAGCAAGTATTATTTGTTTTTAAAGTTACTATTTCCTGTGCTGGTCAATGACCGAAGTAAATGATTTGAAGTTACAGTCTATGAGGGTTTTTGAATTTTTCACCTTAATTCAACACAAATAAATTACCGGGGCATTGTTTTTGGCATGACACCCAGTAACTGAACAGGTTACTTTGGTAAATTTACCTAACAGATTAAGCAGATTATCCTATTCACATATTTTAATATTACATTA